AAGGCGGGGGTGAGGGGTGTTTGATTGGATTTGCAGTGTGCAGGATGTATGGATGGGGTGTGGGGTATGGGGTACAACGTGGAGAGCTGTGTGTGGCAGGTACAATCTATAGGGGTAGGTGTAGAGTATGGCGTGTAGGGGCTAAGTGTGCAAAGTGGGATGTTTAGGGATGGGGGGATATGGGGCGCAGTGTGTAGGACTAAGCATGCAACCTACAGAGAGGGTTTATGGGGTGCAGTGTGCCAGGTTGGGTGTGGGGTGCAGTCTATAGGGCATGATTTGGTGTATAAACAGTGTGTAGGGACAGAGCTACAGGGTCTGGGTAATGGGGCTGAGGGTTGGGGTGGGTGGTGACACCTCCAGGTCCTGGGGTGCCTCGTGTCCCTCACCTCCACGGAGCAATTGTAGTGGGGGCAGCAGCGGATGTGTGACCAGCTGTGACAGTGGCACCCGCGTGGGCAGCGCTCTCTCCCTGTGCCACAGCACCCCTGCTTCGCCTTGTTCTCCCAGGCCACCGCTGCAAGAGACACATGGGCAGATCGCATTCCCCCCAGCCCCTGGGGGCACCCCCCCATGGAGCAGCCCCTGCTCCCCCATCGCCCTACCTGACCGGAGGAGCCTCAGGTTGTCTACACTGAGCAGAACCAAGGTGGGAAGAGCCAGGAGGAAGAGGATGATGGTTAAGTTGGGGACCAGCAGTGTGATGTGCAGGGCCAGCCAACCGCACCTGTGAGATGGGGTATGGGGAAGATGGGGATGGGGTCAGGCCCAGGGGCTGCAGGAAGGGAGCCTTGGTGTGCTCAGCCCCAGGGGCTGCTGGAGCTGGGCCATGGGGAGAAAGAGGAGGCAGATCCAGGCTGTTTGAGCTGATGGGGAAATTCAGGACCTCGGGATGGGGCTTGGACCATGGCATGGAGTGACTTACAGGAAGGAGACCAGCGAGCTCAGGTAGAGGAGGGTGCTGAAATGAGGTAGGATGAGAAGCTCCATGGTGATGCGGGCTGTGGCCTCACAGGATGCCCGGCACCCTGCTCCCACAGCAACCAAAGCACAACAAATACCCCCATTCCATTTCTATGGCAACCACAGCATCCGCCTTCTCTCTATTCCATTCCCATGGCAACGGCAGCATCCTGCTCCCATGGCGGGGTGCTGGAGACCCGTTTAGGGTGCCAGTGCCTCTGTGGCTTCAGCACAGGGGCCCTGGTCCCCAAGCTTTGGGGACGAGCAGGCGCACCAGCATGGGTGATAACCGCCTTACCCTGCACCCCGGGTTAATAACCGGGCGGCCGAGGCACTCGTTGGGCTGGGACAGTGTAGGGCACACCAATGGGACGGGAGCACTGGAGGCTGCTGGTTAAACTGGAACAAGGCGCGGTCCCTGCCCTGGGGACTCTGACCCCGTGGGCCGGCAAAGGGAGCAGAGGCAGAGGCAGTGCTGAGCAGTCCCACAGCCCTGGGACGGAGCTGGGCAGGATGGACCTCACCATGGAGCTGGCAGAGGAGCCCACCATGGAGCTGGCAGAGGACCCCAGGTGGGTGCTGGGGACCCTCGTGCTGCTTTTACAGCCAGGCAAATCCCACTTTTTAGAACAGCATTTGGGATTACTCCTTCTGTAAAGGAAGGGAGGTGCCTGGGGGCGAGGTGAGGCAGCCAGAGGAATTAGGAGACCCTGTGGGGATGGATGTCCCTGTGTCCCTGCTGGGCCATGCAGTGGTCCCCTTCTTCTCTGCAGGTTCCCCCGCCCGCTGGTGGAGATGCTGATGAGGAACTTCAGTGTGCCCCCAGCCTGCTTCTCCCTGCCACCCACCTCCCGGCAGCTGCTGCAGAGTAGGTGTGGGGGGGACAGAGCAGGGGGACCCTCCTGTCACCCCTGGTGGAAGCAGGACAGAGATGGGGGGGTCCCAGGGAGGGCCAGCTCCAGGGCAGGTGACATGGGAGCATGGCAGCTATGGCATGGCCAGATGTGCTGAGGATGGGGTGAGGGGACTTCCCAAATGTGTGGAGGGGTGGGTGGGGTGGCAGCTCCCTGTTGTGGTGATGGATGGGATAGGATGGGGCTGCTTTCCGACTCCTCCACGGACGAGCTGGACATGGCCCAACTCATCATCATGGGCCTCGCCACCATCATGACGCTGCTGTCGGTGGCAATCTTTGTGGAAGAGGCTTTCTACCTCACCCGCAAGATCCGCTGCCCCATCAAGATGAGGACCCTACGCTGGAGCAGCTCAGCCCCCACAGTGAGCTGGGCTCTGGGGGGCATCACCCTGA